CACAGCTTGGCATGCTATCATGAGCTGGTGCCAACTGTATGCTCACCTTGGTTTAAACCCTTAAGTTTAAATTCAGAGCTGGGTGAAGAAGATAGCAACATGCACTGACCTCTTGTCAGGTTGTACCTACCCCTAGCCTGTTCCAGAAGCATGATGCTGAACCAGCATCCTGGTGGAGAAGCCAAGAGGGGCTGTGAGGAGGGCAGCAGGCACTAATTCACTTCAGTGCCCGATTGCTCTTTGCAGGAGAGACCCACAGGATGCTCTGCTGATTTCTCTATAGGTTGGACCAGGCCCTGGCTCAGTACTTTGGAGAAGCCACAGGAAGTGCAGAGCAGGAGGAGGTCTATCCAGCAACGCCTCTTTCCGTTCGGAAGTGTCCACAGTGCAACAATGACATGGTGCTGAAGACCAAGAAGAACGGCGGGTTGGTGATCTTCCCTGCTGTAGGAAGTGGCTTTCTGGGCTGGTTTGTGGTGGTGTTCATGTGTTGGTTGGTGTTTTCTGTGCTGGTTCTAGGTGGTGTTCATTTGCCTCCCCTCTGCAGCAAGCATGACAACTTGGGCTGCATTTAGTTCACTCCACCAGCTGCATAAGCTGTGTGGATTCAGCTGAACCTCTCAAATACCTATTTTCCCTTAAGAATAGTTGGTTTGGCAGTTTCTGATGGTGAGAAGACAGGAGAACAGATCTCTGTTTGTCCTCACATTGCCTCTTCCTCATGCACTGCTTTTGTCCCACGGCAGGTTCTACCTCAGCTGCATGGGCTATCCAGCTTGTAAAACTGCAGTCTGGTTTCCTGATTTTGTGCTGGATGTGGCCAGGGATGAGAGCATCTGTGCTGTGTGTAAACCTCATCCAGTTCACAGGTAGGTCAGACCAGTTACCCCACCTTGGGGAAATGCAGCCCCTTGGACACTCCATGTTAGCCATCAGGACCAGAGGCTTCGTGGGCTGAGCAACCATCTTCCATTGCAGTCTTGGAAAGCTGGAGCAGCTTTGGCTTGGGGATAGAAAGAAGTGGGGTTGGGAAAACCCTCTATAGTATATATTCTGTAAATATATGTATGTATATATACATATACACACTACATATTCTGCTATATAGTATAGCAGAATTCAGAAGAAACCCCACAATGTAAAAACTGAAGTCCAAATTGAGGCCTGTTGATGACGTGGTTTAGTGTGAGGTGTCCCTACCCATGGCAGGGGGTTAGAACTTGATCTTAAGTTCCTTTCCAACCCTAATTATTCTGTGATCCTATGATGAGAAGTGTGAACTGAGACACTTCTGGTCTTCCTTTCCTTTCAGACTGAAGTTTAAATTCAAGAGAGGCAGCGTTCCACCCGTGATGCCCCTGGAGTTTGTCGGCTGCATTGGAGGCTGTGATGACATGCTCAAAGAGCTCTTGGACCTCAAGTACTTACACAGATCATCCCAGCCTCCATCATCAGCCAGCCAGGAAACCAACCACTTGCAGGTCAACAACTCCTTTAACAGGGCTAGTGGTGAAAACAGGCACATGAGGGGGACCACAAACCTGGCACCAAGACATCTGCTCTCTGTGAGCTCCATGAGAACGCCCAGACCTGCTCCTTCAGCTGCTCCAGACGATGGGAACAACGCAGTGGTGTGCAACTGTGGGAATGAAGCCCTGCTGCTCACTGTGCGCAAAGAGGGGCCCAACCAAGGCAGGCAGTTCTATAAATGCAGCGCCAGCACCTGCAACTTCTTTCTCTGGGCTGATCAGCAGCCAGAGGACAGAAACAATGCGGTTCCACGGGGCTCTGCGTTTCCCCAGCCCTTTGCAGGAAGGGGCCCAGCAGGATTTCAGCGCCCAGGAGGAGGAGGGAGAGGCCCAGAGCTCTTTGGAAGCAGCAGCTCTGATTCAGGAGGCGGCACAGTGTGCAATTGTGGCCAGCCAGCTGTCACACGCACTGTCCAAAAGGATGGGCCCAACAAAGGGAGGCAGTTCCACACGTGCTCAAAACCCCGGGAGCAGCAGTGTGGCTTCTTCCAGTGGGCAGATGAAAACACAGCTCCAGGTAAGGCCAGGCTCGAGGTGGAACACAAGGGGTAGAGGCTGTTCTCGATGCTGAACTGAACACACTTCTCATGCTACCACAGCTCTTGTAGCAACTCATACATTTAACAGACTTCAGGCTTGTCTTTAAACCATCTGGCAGCAGCATTCTAGCACTGCAGATGTTGCTCGTAACAACCAAGTCTGGCTTACCTTTTCCAGCCATATATCTGCTGAGCTCCAATCAGTTATCTTTAGCATCTCTCTGTCCATGACCTGTTGGATAAAGCCCATCCCTCTTTCCAACACTGTTTGGGAATCTGTCCTCCCAAATTCTGGAGCTCAGCTTTGTGAGAGCTGGTACCAACTTGCTGCAGAGTTGGAGCAGCAGCACCACTTTTGGAGGGGGGAAGCCCCATTCTGTCGTGGCAGGGAAACGGTGCTACTCCCTCTGCCCTACTTTAGGAATACAGAGAAAGGCCAAGTCTTTCTGAAGCTTTGATCAGAGCTGACAAACTGAGTGTGGCTGCTGTGGAGAGATGCTGAAAGCAAATACCCATTAAAAATAATCACAAAATAAGGCTGCAAAAGAAAGAACACTCACACAAAGGGACAGTAAGCAGAGAGATGGGTGGAGATGTCGTCTGAGAGAAGCCTTCCTCCTCCTTCTCAGACATTTGAGCCTAAAGGGATAGAATAAAGCTTTCGAAACTGTTTAAACCCTAAGTTTTCCTCTGGGATGCTCTGTTTCTGCTTTAGCTGTAGGCCAAAGCATGTAACCAGGCAGATCAGTTTCCCTGCTTTGTTCCCACATTCCTCTAATGCTGCAAGACAAATGGGTAACATTTAACTGTTCAGAGCTTAAATAAGCGTAGTTTCAGGTATAATCCAAGTGGCTGAGGTAGTGAAATCCTTGATCTGCCATTTTGAACTTAGCTCCTGTTTCTCACCTGCTTTCAAAGGTACTTACATGCACGTTGTTTCTCTCTAGGGCCTTCTGGAGATGTCTCTGTGAACCATTTTGACAGCAGTGGGTTCTCAAGAGGGTTGGGAAGCAAAGCCAAGAGACCAGGCAGCTTCTTCTCGGGAGCCACTGCCAAGAAACCACGGACCTGCAGCATTTGCCACCAGCCTGGCCACACTAGGAAAACCTGCCCTCAAAACCACTGAGCCTGGGTGAACATCCCTTGAGAGCCTGCAAGGTCCAAGGTTGTGAGGAGCTGCCACAGGAGCAGCTGCTGTGGAAGGAACTGGAGCCTGGAACCAAGCCTGTTGAGTGTTTTGTGGCTGCAGGCTGCTCCTGCCAAGGGGTTCCATGCTCACCCATGCATTATGTGCCTGAGCTAAGAAAGGTGGCTCCCTTACTGGAGTCAGCCTTTGTTTTGAGCTGCTTTTCTGCTGAGCTGCTCGGGAGAGTCTGAACATTTCAAGGAGGCATTTGGAAACTGCATCTGCAGACAAACCAGCACTGGATTGAGTCCACCCACAGCTCCTGCTACACTGGCAGCTGTACCCAGCCTCCCTATACAAGGAAAAGCTGGATTATCATTAGGAGAGGCACCAGGGCCACTTAGCTCTCAGTCCCTGGCTTTCCACAGTGTGGAAATCTATCTTAAGTCCCCTTCTAAGCTGATGTTCCCTGAAGAACATTCCCCCTTCTCTTTGTCACAGCACTGCACCCCTTACCTTGGTTGTCCCCACAGGCAAGAAGGGCCAGGTTCGGAGGAGCTTGCCCTAGAAGGGAAGCTCAGCTGCAGTGCTCAGCAAGAGCCTTCATTTCAAACAGCTCCTGAATATGAAACCAAGTTCTTCCCCAAGCCTCAGCCATGCCTCTGGGGTGCTGCTAGCTAATGGGAGTTATTTTTGTCTAGCTAATAAGTTTCTTATTAAAATTTATTTAATTCTTAAATGGGATGCAGAGATACCCTAACTCTACCTTATTATTCCTTCCTACTTAAAGCAGTTAAGCTATTACTGTGAAAGCACCCACCCAAACCTTGTTCTTTCCACTCATAAGAACAATACAGAAGCTTTCTTAGGAGAAACTCCCTACAGTTATTCAGGAGTGAGCTGCAGAGGGGTAGGGAATGTGGGTTTAGCTCACCAGCTCTGCAGCATTGCTGTACAGGGAAGGACAGATAAGAGCTGAAGGGAGGTCCTGGTTTCCATACTGAACTCCCTTGGGAAGCCAGGCCTCCTCCTTCCTCTCTGTGGGAGCTTCCTCCCACATCAAAGAGAGCAGATCACAAGATTCCTGCATCCTCTTCTGGCAGAGGATAGCACAGAGCATATCCCCAAGGCCCCTGATGCTGCTCCTGGACACGGATGAGCTCCCTGGGGTCAGCACTGAGGGTGACAGGCAGCAGCACATTGAGGGCAGGAGGCTGAAGCACTTACAGAGGGTTGCTCAAAGCAAAGCACAGCAACACACATTCACATTAAGGTCTGCATGAAAGAGAAGAGAGCCTTTTTCTCTGCAGCAGTCCATCACTATTGTGCTTAAAACCTATGGAGTACGAGGAGGAGAACTTGGGTTGCATTCCCCTGTCCTACTCACTCCCACAATTAACAGCTGCAGCCTAAAAATACATTCTTGCCAGCTAAAATACCAGGATCAGGAGGCTTTGTAATGCAATCACTGCTGGTGAGAGCACAGGAGGAGCCTCTGGTAGTAGCAGAAAGTGGTGCAGCACCCAGGCAGTGGGGTGTTGCTGATGGCATCGGCTGTTACTGGCTTTACTGGTCTAGCCCTGGTCAGCGCTCAGGTAAATGGCACAAGCTCCATGTCCAGAGGGCTCATGCTGCAGCCAGGGGTAAACAGGAGGTTGGAAGAAGAGAAAGGCTTTGCAGGATGGGGTCTGAGCATCACCAAGCTCTCCATGCAGTGAGGGATACCCTCCTCTCACCATAGCCAGGGCTCACCTCAGCCCTTGGAACGGGAAAGGAGACAGAACAGAGCTGACACAAGAACCAGCATACACAGGGAAGGTTTATTCTCATCACTAATACCTGGGAAGGGGTTTGGAGGAACAAACTGAAATCATCTCCAGACTAAGAGGAAAAGCTGGTTTATTTTCCTGCCATAAATACAGCCATAAAGAAAACTAAACCACAAGAGCTGCTCCTCCCAAAGCCCACACGATTTCTCCATCTCCACCAGCGTGCAAAAACAGCTCTTCCCATTAAATAGAAGAGGATATTCCTTCACTCTGGGCCTAGAGCCAGAACCAAAGCCTACTACAGCAGCCACGCAAAGGAAGGAAACAGAACACAACACCCAAACAAAACTACACCTCCTTCATAAAAAGCATCAATCAGTTCTCGCAAGTGCTCTGCTCAGAACATCATTCCTGCCCCACAGCATGGGGCTGCGGGGGAACAGGACCTCAAGACAGCAGCAATACACAAGTGAAAAGGTCACTGGACAGACAGGAAGGGAACATTCATTGCTGTGGTTGGGTGCAGAGCAGCAGGTACCTGCAGATGGACATGAGCAGCAGCCCGCCCATTGGGGAGGGGGCAGCAGCCCTGCTGCAGCCTCACTGAGGGAATCAGCAGCTTTCTTCCTGCCACCACCTCTTCCAGCAAAACACCCACTGGGACAAGAGCCACGAAGCCCAACACTGCTGGAAGCACATCTCTTCCTCAGGGCAGAGCCAACACTGGTAGAGGTAGGGCTGAGCTTGCCCTTTTGGCAGCTCAAAGGGCTTCCAAAGCAGCCCCCTTTGCTATAGCTGTACCTTCAAGTGCCCACACAACCACCCAGGTGAGGGCTGTGGGCTTAGTTTGGATTGGTGGTACCCTACAGCCCCAAAAAGCATGGCACAGTAAAACTAAGCTGGGTGCTGGTGCATCCAGCACCCACGATGCTGCACCTTTGGGTATGCAGGACACAGCAGCAGCAAGGAACTGCTCCCCTCCAGCTTGTCTTGGAGCACAAGGGGAGCCTGACCACTATAACAGGCAAAGGGCACAGGGAACCAGAGGCCAAACATGCTGCACATTGGCTCCCAATGCCCAGAGGACAGGACTCACCTGCAGGTACTGGAGGTGTGGGCTGCATTCACCCAGGTTCGGCAGAGCCTCCATAAGAGGCTTCTTACATCAACCCCCACCTCTGCTCAGGCACCTTTTATTCAGGTAGAAAATGCTTTGTTTCCTCATAAAGTGCAAGAACTTTGCCTCTTACTCACTAGTCAACTAGAAGCATCGCCACCCTCTCATGGGAGCAGCACATGGGTGAGGAACACCCTCCATATGGGAGCTCCCAACGCACCAAGTCATTGCTCCTTCAGCAGCAGCTCCGGCTCGGCTATGGCTCTGTAGAGCATGAAGCCCATCTCATCGATTTCCTCTTCCAGCAGCTCGCAGAAGAGGTTGATTTTGTGGTTGAAATAGGAAGGCAGGACCCCTTGCTCCAGGTAACCTACCAGCTCCTCCAGTACCTCCTGGAACCTCTCAGCAAGGCTTTCTTCTGCCCAGTCTGAACTGGTGGCACTGAGGTGAAGGATGGTGTGGGTCAAGGGGCTGCCACTCAGTTTGTGCAGGCTGGGATGGCTCTTGCAGATGCCGTTGAGGATGCGGAGGCAGTGCTGCCGAGCCCCAGCATCAGCAGCATCCAGCTCCTTCACCTTCAACACCTCTGCCTTGTAAAAGCTCTCAAGCCAGAGGTTCTCCACTAATCCTTCAGGAGGAGCAGCCAGAAGAACCTTGCCCTCCGTTTCCACCACTGGGAAGAGGGCGATGCTCAGCTCGACCTGCTCATGTTTGACTTCCAGCTTCAGCTCCTGGGATGCCACAACCGGGTGGATGATGCTCCCCAGCAGGCTGCCTATAGCAGGCCAGTTGATGGAGGCCACCAGCAGCTTGTGGAGGCTCTCATTGAGCACGTTGGAGGAGAAGTACCGACCGACAATGAACCTGTCCCAGGGGCTGCACCCACGAGGGAAATACTCCAGATCAGTCCTCTTGATCATCCAATACTGGGGGTTCCTCACCACGGTGTCCTCCCCTGGGATGAGGCTCCAGAGCGAGGTGTCAAGCACCACGGGCAGCATGATGTGGATGTGATCGGCTGCCAGAGCCCCGAGGCCATCGAGCAGGGCACCGCTGAGGAAGAGGTTTCCGAAGGGCAGCTCCGGGCACTTGCTCCGCAGGAACCTCTGGAGCTGGATGCAGATGTTCCTGGCCAGCTGTGGGGCGAGGGATGCTTCCACCTCCGGTACAGCCAGACGGCTGCTGTAGTGAGAGAGGAGCTTCTCCTGCAGCGTGAGGCAGCGCCGAGGGATGGATTCGACCCCAGGAGGCTCCAGAGGGGCAGAGCAGACCCTGGGCTCTGTGAGCAGGGGACAGGGCAAGGAGAAGTCACGACCCTGAGCAGATACCTGCAACCAACAGCTTCTGCCATAGCCAAGGGGGAGGCACAAATTGGGTGCCCAGCTTCCATCCCACCCCTCTGGGTATGCGGGTGGCTAAGATGCCATCACCAAGTCCTCTGGTGTTAAAAGCCCTTCTCAGCTAAGGCAGAGCCCAAATTAACCCCAAAACCCAGCAGTTTCTAGCCTCACACCCAGGTAGAGATGGACAGAGCAGGCAAGGAGCTCACTGCCACTGTCCCTACAGCCTCAGTCCCACTGAGCCTGCTCCAGCCTGCCCTTATCCTCCAAACAACCCTGCTCCGGGTCTGGTATCTGCTTTCCCACTTGGAACAACGCTTTGAGGCAGAGCAGGACAAGGCAGCCTTTGTCTGCAGCAGCTCCCGATGGCACCTTCCTGTAGGCAGAGCTGACCCAGAAACCAGCACAGCTCCAGCAGAAACAAAGCCCCCACCACGCCGAGACACCCGGGATGGTATCGGAGATGCATTGCCTAAAATGGGGCTGCGGCTCGGGATCCTCCCAGCAGGGCAGGCTCAGCTTTCCGGGCACCCAGCTAAAAATAACACAGAGCTTCCATACCACAGGCACAGCCAGCCCGGAGCACACCAAGGTGATCCCTCCTGACCACGGTACCCCATGAGCCTCACCTGGTGCTGGCGGCCGGGCTGGGGAGAGCAGGGGCTCGCTGAGGTCTTCCCTTCTCTGCTTCTGGGTAGGTTTTGGTGCTGCTTTGATCAAGGCCAGGTCCTGCCAGCTCTCCTCCAGGGTCTTCTGCTCGGCTTTGGGATCGCCCTCATCACGAGGGCTGGTGGCTCGGTCTATGAGCTGCAGGGAAGGAAAGCACACAGGGATGAGTTAGTGGCTTTGTACCACTTCTCCACTGTCACACCCTGAGCTAAGGGGGACACCAGCCCCCTTAGTATATGCACAGGGAGACACAGCCTCATAGGCAAAAATTTAGGGAATTTACTTAGGGAATATTTAGGGAATTAACATAATTTAGGGAACAACAAAGGGGCAGGTTTGCTTCCTAGGTTTCCAAAGATGAATTGAACCCAAGGTGCCTCTCTGAATGGAATACTATATCCCAAATGGGTGCTGCTCCAGGAAAACGGGATGTCCATGTCCCTGCAAGATGGGCTGCTCCATTCCCATGGCATTCCACCATTCTCAAGGGATTATCCAAGGCGTTTTGTAACTGGGGAGCAAGGCACCTCTCCTCCCCATCCCTGAACCCCAACGATGCCCACATCACCCTCACCCTCTTGACGGCCAGCGTGGCGATGGCGAGCACGGCCGCCCCGGTGACACCCAGCACCAGCCTGGCGTTGGCCAACAGCACATCGAGGACACTGCCCAGCCCGTTGTCCTCCTGCCGCTTACTCCGCTGGCGCATGAAGTCACCCATGGCGACCCTACGGAGGGGGAAAAGGAAGCAGCGAGGGATCACCCTCAACAGGGAATTGCCTCCCGGTAGAGGAACCCAGGGAACGGAGAGAGGATTCCATCGGCCCCACGGAGCCCATCCCGCTGCTCACCTTCCCCCGCCGGTCAAAGGCTCCCGCTGCCGGGTGCGGCGGAGGAGCAAGGGTCACCGCGGAAGGGCCGCCCGCTCCTCACCGGGCTCCAGCGCAGCGGCCTCGCGGCGGGGGGAACCAGCACCGCTGGGAAGGGGCCGAGGGGAGCCGGTACCGCGAGGGGAGCCCCCCCGGACGGAGGCCCCCGAGGGCGGGCAGGCAGGGACGGGTCCGCCCGGAGCCCCGACGGGCCCAAGGGCAGGACCGGATCTCACCGGGCTCCCGCGACCCGCGCGTGCCGGCGCGCCCTAAGAGCCCCCCGCTCCCACCCGAGCCAATAGGAGCGCGGCGCGGCCCCGGCTCCGCCCAATCGCGCTCGGAAGCAGAACCTGGCTCCGCCCACAGCCCCTCGCAAACGTCACCGCCGGGGCGGGGCTCGGAGGAGGAGGGGGCGTGGTCAGGCGGGGCGGGGCGCCGCGGGGTCCCTCCGCCCTTCCGCCGCCAGCGCAGCCATGGCGGCCACCGGGGTCCTGCCCTTCGTGCGCGGCGTCGACCTCAGCGGCAACGACTTCAAGGTGCGGGGGGACCGGGGGGGATCGCGGGGACAGCCCCGGCCCAGGCCCCGAGCGAGCACGGGGACCGCAGGGCTCTGTCAGGCCCGGCCCCGCCGGCTCAGATCAGCCCCCCCCAGGCCTGGCTCCCTGGGGAGCCCCGGTTCCCAATCCCATAGGGTTAACCCATCCCAGCTCTCCAGTGCTTAATCCCATAGGATTGAGTGATCCCACCCCGCAGCTTCCCCCCCCCATAGGACTGGGAGCTCTCAGCTCCCAATCCCATAGGTGATCCCAGTTCCCCAGCTCCCAGTCCCATAGGACTGAGCGATCACAGCTCCCCAGATGCCAATCCCATAGGACTGTGTAATCCCACCCCATACTTCCCAATACCATAGGACTGAGTGATCCCACCCTCCAGCTCCCAGTCCCATAGGACCAGTCAATCCCCATTCCCAATCCTATAGGACCACGCAATCCCACCCTCCAGCTCCCAGTCCCATAGGACCAGTCAATCCCCATTCCCACTCCTATACAACTGGGCAATCCCACCCTCCAGCTCCCAATCCCATAGAACCAGTCAATCCCCATTCCCAATACCATAGGATTGAACAATCCCACCCTCCCAGCTCCCAATCCCATAGGACCAGTCAATCCCCATTCCCAGTCCTACAGGACTGGGCAATCCCACCCTCCAGCTCCCAACCCCATAGGACTAGTCAATCCCCATTCCCAATCCTATAGGACAGTGCAATCCCACCCTCCAGCTCCCAGTCACATAGACATGGGCAACCCCAAACCCTCCAACCACATAGGGCCACTGAGCTTCCCAGATCCTCACCCCATGGAACAGCTGCTATTCCCATCCTCATCCTCCTCTTCCTCGCAGGGCGGATACTTCCCGGAGCACGTGAAGGCGATGACGAGCCTGCGCTGGCTGAAGCTGAACCGCACGGGGCTCTGCTACCTGCCTGAGGAGCTCGCTGCCCTCCAGAAGCTGGTGAGCGGCACCTTTCCAGCTGGGAATGGGGCTCCATGGGGCCAGATGGGGCCCTGCGAGGCAGAGCCAGGAGCCTGGTGCCTGCCAGCCTCGTGGCTCATCCGCGGATGCTCTGGTATCTAATAATAGGGCTGAGCAATGGTGTGTGGTTGAAATCGGACGCAGGAGCTGGTAGGAGTAGGGTTGAGACAGGCTTGGGCTCGGTTTCACCTTGTTTTCCTAGGAAACCAGAAGAAAACCCATGCTTGGATTCTCTGCCCTTTAATAGAATGGGAGAGTGAAGGTTTAGTAAAGGGGAAATTAAGGTTTTGAGGCTTGTTTTCGCTCTCCTTTTGCTAGAAGACATAAAGAGCAATAGCGGGCAGCCGCCTGGCTCTGCTTTTTGGGTGGCCCTTGATGGAGTCAGTGGCTGAGGTTTGCTTTGGTGGTGCCCTGCATCATTATGGGCATCATTAAATCAGTGTCAGGCAAACACAACCCTTTAAATGCTGCCAGAGGTCCTTGTCACCCTTTCGGGTGCTGCTGAGCTGGTTTGTGACAGCACCCATAGCCCTGCAGCAGCACTGGGGTGTCTCAGGTCTGCCCCTACGAGCTGTGCATGCATTGGTACCAAGCAGTTTGAGACTGGGAGCATCCCAGCAGCCTTGTGTGGGACAGAGCCAAGCTCATCCCAAGTTCCCCCTCAACGTTCCTGGGATCAAGGAGCATCCTGCATTGGTGTTGGGGACCTGGTTCCTCTCCGTGCTCATTGATGCTTTCCTTCAGGAACACCTCTCCGTGAGCCACAACAGCCTCACCACGCTCCATGGGGAGCTCTCTGGCCTTCCCTGCCTCCGGGTGAGTGCCCCCCTCATTCATCCCACTAGCATCAACGTGTCCCCAGGCACCTCCTGGCCAGCCCCTGGCTCTGGGGGCACACAAGGATCGTGCCCAGCCATGCCGGGAGGGTTCAGCACCCATGGAGCAGGCTGGTGGCTGCAGTGGGTGCCTGTTGTTCCCCTTTCAAGGCCATCGTGGCTCGTGCAAACAGCCTGAAGAACTCAGGGGTCCCTGATGACATCTTCCAGCTGGATGATCTCTCGGTGCTGGTAGGTTTAGAGTCCCCTTGGCCAAAGAAGGAGCCACCTCAGACTCCTGGGTCCCATTCTGGCACCTCAGTGGCCCCTCATGCTCCTCGAGGGGTAAAAGTGCAGGGGGTAAATCAGGCTCCCTTTGAAGTTTGGGTGCCCACACCAAAACTAGATCCCCCACAAGAGCTCCTGTATCCTTTCACCACCAGTGTTGATAACCCTGCAATATAGATAACACTGTGGCATAGATAACCATAAGGCATAGATAACCCTATGACATAGGTAAACCTGTGGCGTGGATAACCCTATGGCGTAGATAACCCTATGGTGTAGGTAACCCTATGGCGTAGGTAACCCTATGGCGTAGGTAACCCTATGGCATAGGTAACCCTATGGCGTAGATAACCCTATGGTGTAGATAACCCTATGGCGTACATAACCCTATGGCATAGATAACCCTATGGTGTACATAACCCTATGGCGTAGATAACCCCATAGCAACGCCTGATGCTGTCTGGGTTCCCCGTGTGCTCATCCAGCTCCTGCACCAACTCAGAGGGCAAGGCCCAGTGTGGTGTAGACAGGAGATGCCCCTGCAGATGCCCTTGCCCCTCAGGTGGTGGTGGCTGGATGTGGTCAGGGGGTGATGCTTCCTTTGCTCTCCCATTGCTCCAGGACCTGAGCTACAACCAGCTCACAGAGTGTCCCCGGGAGCTGGAGAACGCCAAGAACATGCTGGTCCTCAACCTCGGCCACAACAGGTAGGTCCAGGCCATGGCCACCTCCATCCATCGCTCCAAGTCCTGCTCTCTGCCCCTCTTTAAGGGAACCCTAATGCAGGTCCCAAGCCGCCCTAAAGACCCTCATCTCCCCCCCCCAGCATCGAGACCATCCCCAACCAGCTCTTCATCAACCTGACGGACCTGCTCTACCTGGACCTGAGCGACAACAAGCTGGAGAGCCTCCCTCCGCAGATGCGACGCCTGGTGCACCTCCAGACCCTCATCCTCAACAACAACCCCCTCCTGCACGCGCAGCTCCGGTACGTCCCGGTGTTTCCAGGCCGGATCCCGCCGTGCCGGATGCCTGCTCCAAGCCCTGCTCCAAGTCTCTTGGTTCCGTGGTCCGCAGGCAGCTCCCGGCGATGACAGCCCTGCAGACCCTCCACCTTAGGAACACGCAGCGCACACAGAGCAACCTGCCCACCAGCCTCGAGGGCTTGGTCAACCTGGCAGGTAGGAATGGGGCACTCAACCCCATGGGGCCTTCCTTCTCCGTGGGTCCATGGAGTCACCCCCGTTGTCTTCCATCAGACGTGGACCTGTCCTGCAATGACCTCAGCCGTGTCCCCGAGTGCCTCTACACGTTGGGGAGCCTCCGGCGCCTCAACCTCAGCAGCAACCAGATCATGGAGTTATCCCTGTGCATCGACCAATGGACCCAACTGGAGACCCTCAACCTGTCCCGCAACCAGCTCACCTCCCTGCCTGTACGTCCCTGCCTGCACGTGGCATCCCTGCCCACCCGGAGCCGTTGTGTTCTCCCTCATCCCACCATCTCCTCCTTCCCCAGTCGGCCATCTGTAAGCTGACCAAGCTGAAGAAGATGTACCTCAACTCCAACAAGCTGGACTTCGACGGGATCCCCTCGGGCATCGGGAAGCTGGTCAACCTTGAGGAGTTCATGGCAGCCAACAACAACCTGGAGCTCATCCCCGAGAGCCTGTGCAGGTAGGGGACACCGGGGCTGTGTGGTGCCACGGGGTCACTTTACCTTGGTCCCTCCCCATCGTCTCTGTGTCCCATAGGTGCTCCAAGCTGAGGAAGCTGGTGCTGAACAAGAACCGCCTGGTGACGCTGCCGGAGGCCATCCACTTCCTGACGGATGTGGAGGTGAGAGCCCAGCATTCCTCCACCTCAAGCTGGGTCCATCACAGCCCCAGCGTGTCCCTGGGATCTGTAGGGTGGGATGGGATGAGGTGAGGACAGGGGTGTTTGGGACCAATCCGTGCAGTGTGACACACGGTTCAACCCAGGCAGGTGATGGATTTGGGGCTCCCCTCACCTCACTGAAGCCCAGGGTGTCCCCACATCCTCAGCGTCCCCATGAGCCCATAGAGTGGTTTGGGCTGGAAAGGACCCTAAGATCATCCCGTTCCAACCCGTGGGCAGGGACACCTCACCCCGGACCACGTCACCCAAGGAACGGGCTCTGATGCTTCAGAGCAGTGAGCAATCCCATCCCTCTTTGTCAGATCCTGGACGTGCGCGAGAACCC